TTCAACACACATTTTTGTTGTTTTGTGTGAACACCGAGGCCATCGCCGGCGAGGGTGAGAAGGAGGATAAGCGGCAACACAAATATAATGCCTCACAAAAATAAAGGAGATGGACCTATTGTGATCTTGAGTGACGGTTGTTCAGTTAAGAGTGTGTGTTATGTTTACTCTCCGTTGCAACGCACGAGCTCTTTTGCTAGTATTCCTAATGTCGTCGATCCCAAGGCCCTTGCACCCACACCTGCGATTTGGCACCGGCAGGTAGGCTGTATAGTGTGCCCTGGACTTTGATGCCATATGTCATCGACTAGCCTTGTTTTGGCATGTCAACGTCTCCGACCTCCTAGATGATCATCCCAAATGGCATAGATTATGAGCTCCCAAACGGCATATGTGCGGAATGAAAACGCCGGATTCCCGGGAATGTTTTTTTCAAAGAGTTAGGGGCCTGTAGCAGTGGACATAAGTTAGGTCGCAGATTTTGACCCTTTTGCACACCAAAGTAGGCCTCGTATTGACCTGCCGACAAAGCGCCGAAAGCTAAATGCATCTTCACTGCGCCTTTTGGCGCATGGCGACTTGGACGTACCTGCTGTGATTTTTGACCGACGACTTATAGCTAAGCTACAGAAACAGTAGATGTTTGTTACTGGTATTGTTCATAAAATCTTTGCGTATTAATAAATTAATTCCCTCAAAAAAAATTAATAACAGAAAAGTTATGTATGTAAAATTCTGCCCCATCACGCAACCGCCTCCTCCCTAAGAAAAGCTTGGGGTTTATCTGTCTTCTGTTGGTGCCGCCGCCGGTCCGTCTCGCCTCCGGTGTCCGTGGCCTTAGGACCATGATGGCGCGGTTGGTCCTGACCTTTGCCGGCGGGAGTGCTGTGTTCTTAGATGTTCCTTCCAGTTTTGTTAGGGTTTGTGTCCTGCTCAGAAAGACGAGACGGCGGCGGCTCTCTGAAGATGGAATAAGCCCCCCCCCCCACCTAGCCCCCATCCCGGTGGCGTTTGGAGGTGTCTCCGGCGGATCTGTCCTTGGTGGATTTGCTCGGATCAGATCGTAGTTTGTCTACGTTCATGTGTCTTTAGGCTTGATCCTTTCGATCTACGTTACTCTTCATCGACGGCGGTTACTGTTTTGATGCGCTGGTCCTATGGGGCCTTAGTGCGAGGATTTCCCGACTGTCTACTACAACAAGTTTTGCCCGGCTGCAGCGAGGGAGGGGCGATGTCGGCGGCGCGCCTTCGGCTCGCTTCAGTGCTTGTAGTCGTCGCTAGGTGGTCTACCGATCTGGATGTAATTTTTATTATTTCTGGTGTTCGTTGTACTGCCATGATTGAAGATGAATAAATAAAAAATTTTCTCGCAAAAAAATAAAATTCTAAGCAGCCTCTCCACCAGAAACAGTAGACAACCACCACCGCTTCACACGCTCCCAGCCGGCGAGGCCACATGTCCCTCCTCCGCCTGTCGCTTCGGCGGTGAGATTGCGTGGGGACCCTAGATCTGTGGTGTGGCATTGTAGTTCGGTCTTTTAAGGTTAGAGTTTGGTTCCTTAGCGGCAGTGTTGTGGTGACGATGGTGGTGCACTGCGGATCAAGAATAAAGTTTTCCCGAGTCCTGGTCACGTAACAAGTGACATAAGGAGGATAATGGATCGTCTGGACGTTCCTCTTATGAAGTGATGGATCCGGTTATTGATGTTATACAGGTGGTGTTTGAAGGCGTCTTATGATGGGGTACACAACGAAGCCTCATATCTTGGTCCTTTGGCTCCTTCTCCGACGCGTGATGTTCCTTCAGTTTAGCCGTCATAGGAGAGCTTGTAAGGTTAGGTCCCCTAAGCATGTCTGACTGGATATGGGGTGGTCTTCTAGTATTCTTCTATGGGGCTACGGTTTATTTTTCAAATCACTACCACTTCTATCTTGTGGCTCGGATCGACGACTTCCTAGCCGTTGCGTCAATATTTTCCTGATGGTGTTTGGAGGACCAGAGATGACATCGAGCTTTGTTCACGGCGTCGTCCACGAGTGTAGGAGGAAAGATGGTGTCGTTCCTCCAATAATGACACATGTGTAATTTTTAATTTTTGTAAGGATGACCTTGTAAGGGTTGATCGACTTTAATATATGACCGTTTGCATTTTTGCAAAAAATAAAATAAAAAGAAAAGTTAAGTACAAGCTTAAAGAAGAGCAACACCTCATGTTAGGCACCGGCGGGAGCGGGAGCAACACCTTGAGACCCATCGGCTTGCTCTCGCTTAAGAACGCTCCTAAGTGCCAAGGACATGTTTTCCTTAGCTTTGGAATTTTCCAAACTCTGTACAACCGAAGCGCCCGGCCTTCCATTGGAAAGGCTACGCCGTCAGATCAGCTACATGGACGGCCCAGTTTACACGACCGCACAAAATTTACTCTACCGCCTCGCCGCGACGTCGGCGCGTTTCACCCGATCAGTGCTACGAGTTCTACTACTCCTTTGTACAGTTTCACCACTATACCGACGCTACGAGCTCGTCGCACCGCGCCGGCGCGAAGGACAGCACGTCCCTGCCGAGGTCGTAGACGACGTGCGTGTTCTGCTGCTGGTAGTTGCCGATGACGGTCTGCTCCCCGGCTGCCGCGTCCAGCACCAGGCACATGACCCGCGCGCCGTGGTCCTCGAACACGTAGTTGCCGCGCGGCAGCTCCCAGTCGGCGCCGTCCAGGTGGAGCGTCAGCGACGGCACGGCCACGGCTCGCCGCCCCCGCCGCCTCCAGAACGGCGCCGTCGCCGGCAGCGCGAAGCAGAGGTCCAGCGCCGCGCCGGCCTCCGCACCGATCACCGGCAGCCCGACCTGCGCCACGAACTCCGCCTTCACCGCCTCGTACACGTCCTCCGGCAGCGTCGTGATCGATGCGCCCGAGTCGATGATCGTCGACCTCAGCCGCCGCTCCGGCACCGGCAGCCGCTTCGAGCCGACGCTGATGCCCTTCAGTGAGAGGAAGTAGAGCGACGGCTGCGAGGGGTCCTTGATCAGCGGGGTGGACTGGAAGACATGGCCGCTCTGGAGCTCGGCCGCCGCGCCGAGCGTCACGAGGCTGCTCTTGGACTCGAACATGGACGTGAAGCAGTACGAGAAGCTGGTGACGCCGAGCTGCGACGGCAGCGACCACCGCCCCCGCCCGAAGCCGGCAATGCCGGTCTCGTTCGCCTGGAAGATGCCCTTGTTGAAGTGGCCGCAGCCGAACGTTACCCGCCGTTCGGAGTGGCCGTCGGCATCGCCGAAGGTGAAGCGGTCGGCGGCGAGCTGGCCGACCGTGAGCGACTTGTCGCCGTAGTGGTAGACGTAGACGCAGCTCCGCTCGCCCCAGCTCCCTCCGCTGCCGCCGCCGCCGCCGCACGACGTGAACGGGAGCGCGCGGCACAGCGGCGCGTCGCAGGGGAGCGCGGCGTAGGTGGAGGACCGGGCGGGGTCCAGGAGCGGCATCCCCTGATCAAAGCAGTCGAGGCAGGGCGCGCACTGCGTCCAGACGAGGTCGCTGCCGGTGTCGAGCGTGAGCGCCACGGGCCGCGGCGGCGTGCCCACGGACAGGTGCACCAGGTACTCGTTCGTCACGATGCTGCCGCCGGCGCCGGCGCCGAGGCCGGCGTGCACCGGCCGATCCGCCTCCGTCGCCTGCGACGACAGCAGCCGCCGCCGCCGCGCCCTGGACCGGTGCGCCATCCGCCGCAAGAGCTCGGGCCTCGCGAACCCGAGGCCGGCGTCGGCGTGTGTGAGCAGCGCCGCGATCCCGGCGCCCGGAGCGGACGCGGCGAACGCCGGCAGCGCGATCAGGACCAGCAGCGTGGCCACGAGCTGCCGCTTCATGGCTGGTAGGTAGCTAAAGGCAGTGACAAAGATCGCCGAGAGCTAGTCGCGGGATTACGCTGCTTATTTATGTTCCATTTAGCAAGCACCTCGCTCGCTGCTTAGTCGTGATTGGACTAGTCATTGGATAATTCAGGGGACCAGCAGTTGGGTGATGTGCCACTGCCTACTGGATGGCTACTTCTCGGCGGAAGCCAGTAACAGCATTCTTAAAATAAGATTGCTTGATAACCAAAAAAAACCAACAGCACTTTTGTTGCTCTAGCAGCTGTTAGGGATTGATACACTCCCCCGTTTGTGTGATGGTTTGCATAGATGCAATAGAATTCATGTTTTTATGACTCACAAGTTTCATGTTTTGGTGACATTTGTAACAACAGTGCAATAATTTGGTTATGTGCATCTCAGATGCTAAAGCTGTGTTTGGTTGAGCTGCAGATTCTGAAAAAGCTGACGTGGAGAAGCTGCTATAGAAAAGCTGTAGGTTGTTTGGTTAAAACGACTGTGAAATTGTAGATGTGGCTGTGAATTGTCTGTAATGCCCCTAAGACCTAAGTGAGTTTGTTTATATGCTGACTGACTGTAAAGCAGTGATATATATACATTTGTAGGTAACTGAACTACCATTTTGCAAAGGAGATATATGACAAATATGCAAACGACTATACTTTGATGTTGCATAAAATAGATAATGATCCCATAATATTATTACAAAACACATGTACCATATAAAACACATATGGTTCACATGATGATGACCCCTCTCAACATAGCTAAACTTATGCTGCCATCGCTAGACAAGCATCGACTATCAATATGCACCACTTCTGCTTGAGCACCCCAAAAGCACGTTCAACAACATTTCGAAGGGATGAATGTAGAAAGTTGAACACCTCATACTTCCCTTGAGGTGGACGGTCACGATGAAGACGGAATCCCGGTAGATGTTATGTACTCCCCTTGAACAAGGTATCCTGTTCAATTTGGATACCCAGAGTCCACAAGATAGTATTTTCTCCAAAACATTTTACTAGCCCTTTTTGCTTAAATAACCTAATGGTCTATTTCCATTTGAAACCTCTTCTCTCAATATATCAATGAGTTTCTTCAAATGGGCATCATCCCACACAACCTTTTTAGTCAAATGACATAGCAGTAGATCAATATATATGGTCCAACAAGCAATCTGCAACAAGCAGTCATGCAATGTAGAGAAAAATGTAGCAAGTATTCATCCATAAATACCCACTGCACAGGAACACATGACTATGCGCAATGATACTATCAAAATTTCATCCACTTCACATCAATATACAACAATATGACAAGCAATATGCATCATTGTCGATGAGCACGTTGGGTTAGGCCCCAAACAGTGCACATACATGCATCAAAGAAATGCTGCCCACGCTGTGGTTGTCATGGTGACCAGTCAATCCAACATCCACTCTGCGTAATTACCGCATGTCGTGGGGTCGTGGAACAGTAGCAGTTAATGGGAAATGCGCCTGCAGAAACCGTAACTTTCTGAGAAAAGATAGTGAAGAGCCAGCCCCCGCGCCCATTCCCAATAAAAAGGAAAACGCAAAGGGGCGTTGCTCATTCACATCTGTCTCTTCTCCTATCATCTTCCTCCTCAAGCCAAGCAACCACTCCTATCGCCATTTCTTGCCCCCAAGGCTCCGCCAGATCTTCGGTCCATCCAGCGAGCTCACGAGATGGGGGAAAAGATGGCTGGTGCGAAGGGGAAGCGGGTGGCCACCGCACGGGATACCGCAGCAGAAGGGAAGAAGAAGAGAGCGCAGGAGCAGGACCAGAAGCGGCAGGAGGACGTGGTCTTCTCCCTGTCGAATTTGGATGGTAACACTCTGATCGCAAGGTATGCGTATATGTGGGGAAGGGAAGTCCCAAAAGGGCACGGAGCGCCCGTGGTTCTACCAGATAGGGAAAAAAGAGAAGGTTCCATCAGATGCGTACCGCTTCTTCTGCGCGTACTTCTTTTGTGGCCTCACTTCCCCCTCCTCTGATTTCTTCATTGCCATGATGACGGTATATGGTTTCCACCTCCTGGATTTCACGCCAAATGCAGTGGCGTGCATGGCAATCTTCACCCATCTGTGCGAGAATTTTGTCAGAGATGCCCCCAACGTGGATTTATTTAGGCACTTCTTTGCCCCACGGGTTGAAGACAAATCACACCGCTCAGGGAATATAAGTTGGATTCCCCGGGGCAAGAAGGAGGACGGGGGTTACCTCCCCGGCCAGCAGCGCAGCAGATGGGAGGAATGGAGGGTGAATTGGTGTTGGATTCAGGACAAGGATGCTCCGGAGTTCTTGAAGGAAATATGCCCTAGAGGCAATAATAAAGTTGTTATTTTATATTTCCTTATTTCATGATAAATGTTTATTATTCATGCTAGAATTGTATTAATCAGAAACTTGATACATGTGTGGATACATAGACAAAATACCGTGTCCTTAGTAAGCCTCTACTAGACTAGCTCGTTGATCAAAGATGGTTAAGTTTCCTAACCATAGACATGTGTTGTCATTTGATAAATGGGATCACATCATTAGGAAAATGATGTGATGGACAAGACCCATTCGTTAGCTGAGCCTTATGATCGTCCAGTTCTATTGCTATTGCTTTCTTCATGTCAAATACATATTCCTCCAACTATGAGATTACACAACTCCCGGATACCGGAGGAATGCCTTGTGTGCTATCACGTCACAACGTAACTGAGTGATTATAAAGATGCTCTATAGGTATCTCCGAAGGTGTTTGTTGGGTTGGCATAAATCGAGATTAGGATTTGTCACTTCGAGTATCGGAGAGGTATCTCTGGGCCCTCTCGGTAATACACATCATAAGAAGCCTTGCAAGCAAAGTGACTAATGAGTTAGTTGCAAGATGATGTATTACGGAACGAGTAAAGAGACTTGCCAGTAACAAGATTGAAATAGGTATGAAGATACTGATGATCGAATCTCGGGCAAGTAACATACCGATGGACAAAGGGAATAACGTATGTTGTCAGAACGGTTCGACCGATAAAGATCTTTAGAGAATATGTGGGAGCCAATATGAGCATCCAGGTTCCACTATTGGTTATTGACCGAAGAAGTGTATCGGTCATGTCTACATAGTTCTTGAACCCGTAGGGTTCGCACGCTTAATGTTCAATGACGATTTTGTAATATCTGAGTTATGTGATTTGGTGACCAGAAGTTGTTCGGAGTCCCGGGTGAGATCACAGACACGACGAGGAGTCTTAAAATGGTTGAGAGGTAAAGATTGATATATAGGACGATGTTATTCGGACACTATAAGTGTTCCGGAGGATACCGGGTGTATATCAGGTCACCGGAAGGGGTTCCGAGCACCCCCCGACAAAGATATGGGCCTAATGGGCCAAGAAGGGAAACATAGCAGTCAACAGGGGCTGCTGCACCCCCCATATGGGCCGCACCTGAGGGTAAGGAAAGAGGGGAAGAGGGAAAGGAAGGGGAGGGATTCGGCCTCCCCCTTCCTTGCCTCCTCCCTCCTCCTTCCTTTCCCCTCCGGTGAATAAGGAAGGGGGAGATGCTGAATTGGGGGAGGCGCCCAAATAGGATTCCTCCTACTTGGGGCGCCCGTTGATGCTCCCACTACTAGGGAAAAGCCTAGCAGTAGCATGCGTATTAGGTGTATCAGTAGCGCGGGGTGCCACGCTACTGATACGATGCTACAGCTAACGTGTATCAGTAGCGTGTGGGGACCATCGCTACTGCTATACATGGCTAGCAGCAGTGGGCTTTTGGGCAACTCGCTACTGCTAATATATGCAGCACTTTAGTTCAGGACACGCTACTGGTAAGGGCGCGCTGCTGCTAACTCTACTCCCCTCGCTACTGTTAGTTTTATTAGTTTTTTTTGCATATTTGTTTTGTATATGAACAGGCTTTATAAAAAATCTTTAGCATCATACACATACAAATGTAATCATAGCATCAAATCATGTCATCATCATAATCATCATCCAACACAAAGTGGTCTCTCGTCATCATCTCAAAAATAGCAATACAAGTTCTTGCAACTACATCGTCATCCATCTAAACAATGATATACGCGAGAAGAGCTATTACTATGAGTGAGAGCGGAACTATGCAGTACATGAGTTCGTACCCCTCTCTCGCACTAGCATGAACCTAAACTAACTACTGGTTGTCGCTCGGAAACCGGAAACCGCTACACCTGGGCCTGACACTCCGGCCACTCGTTGTATACTCCCGGTGTAGCACTTCTTCGCCACCGATGGTCTATGCACCTGCATCATCACATGAGTCGATGATATGCAACATATATAGTTGAGCAACAGAAAGAGACATACTTGGCAAAAATAGAAGCAACATATCATAAGCATAAATAACAAAGTTCATCGTACCCAAAATGCCCTAACTAGAGTGTTCTTCACTAGTCGAGGAGGATGGTCTAATTACATCACAAATAAAGTTTCGTCATGCATAACTCAAAGTTTCATCATACATAAAGTATGGACTAAACGGACACATTGTCATATACCGACAATCACTCAAGCATGTCGTGCCATCCATCCAAGTTAGGGAGATAGTCCCCGAGCTCAGTGAAAGGCTTCAGGTCGAGACGCTGAGCCGCTACGCGTGTTAGGACGTCTTGCCACGACATTTCCCCTTCCTCGTAGAACAACCCTGTTTTTTCAAGGACCTCCTTCATGATGATTTGGGCAAGTTCATGCTGGATGCGATAGAACTCAGCTCGAAGCTGATGATCATCGATATCTCCTACGATCCTTGCCCATTGCAGAATATTGGCATCCCCGACTATAGGTGACATGCGAAGGTTCTGCCGATCCCGTCTGTATTCCAGCATCTGGTGTATGAAATAGAATCCATCATTAAGACTATCACTCGGTTGTTGGATGCAGCAGAAGTCGGTCTTATGGCCGAAGGCGGCCTTGCCGTTCCTAGTCTTCTTGATC